AGAACTGCGGGACTAACTCAGTGTGAAGGCTTCGGTTCTACTTTCAAATGGGAGAATTGGCAGTGAATGGAGGTCCCCTTACACTGTTGTTCCAGCTGTAGGAGCTTCCAAGCTTGGGACACATGTGTCAGCTCTGTAAGTTCCCATTCACATGTTCGGTCATTATCCCCTAAGCTTGATGCCAGGCTAGGCCTTCCAGCATAGGCCAAGCCAGGAATAGCCTTTTCAATGGAGCTCAGGCTTGGGTATTGAGACTGTAGCAGCTTAGCTCCTCATAAGTGAACACTGGTTAGAAAGCTCTTGCAGTCTAGACAGGAGAGCCGTGAGGAGCTTGCCCTAGGGTAGCGGTGGAGGTGGAGACCTGTGATGGATTTGGGGCAGATTTTGGAAGTGGTGCATCTGGACTCAATGATGGATTAGATAAGGAATGTGGGTGCAAAGGGGAATCACAGAAGATTCCCTGGTTTGAGCCTGGGCCCCAGGAAGCCCAGATTCCCTGGCTTCCACTAAGACAGGGACAGCAGGGATTTGGGGATGGGGTGGGGAAGAAATCAAGAGTTCTGTATTGGGCATTTAGGCTGGATTTGCCTAGAAGCCCACCAAATGGAGATTTCAGATAGATGTTTGAATCTATTATTTGCATTTCAAAAGAAGAGACAGAGTGGAAACGTAAACTTGAGTGATAGCAGCAGACCTCAATCAAAACCACTTGATTCTACCAAAAAAATTCCATTAGTATAAAACCTCAAAAGATAGGAGTTTAGAAGCTCCATTCTTTCCCTCCAGAGATGCTCCTTATATAAACATGCCCACCTCTCCCCAGTTTCACGTACCAGGCAGGACTCAGAGGAACTACTTTGGCCACAAAGGTCCTGTTTTCCTTCCCCCAAGAGTGGGCATCTGGTGCCTGTAAGTGTGTATAAGTAAACAAGGTCACTCCAGGGATTTTTTTCCAAATAAAATCTGTTCTAAGGTGCTTTCTTTCTCTTCTTTTTGATATAGAAAAAGCCAGTGTGGTTTTTGAAATTCTTCTGCACTGCAGCTGCATAAAAATCATCCCAAGAGAGTGGCTTAAAACAATAGTCATCATTTTATGATTATCACCGACACTGGACTTGGCCCAGCCAGGCAGCGCCTGCCCAGGGTCCCCCTCATCATTGCAGTCTGACTGTGACTGGGGCAGAACCATTGCAAAGGCTTCTTCTGCTCATATCTGGTGCTTGGGCTCCTCAGACATCTCTATGGTGATCTTGCCTTGTGGCCCCTCCAGCACATGTTTTCTGTCTTGTTGCACTTTATCAGATGATGACAGATAGATAGATAGATAGATGATAGATAGATAGATAGATAGATAGATAGATAGATAGATAGATAGATAAAGATAGACAGACAGGCAGGCAGACAGATAGATAAACAGATAAGGCTCAGGGCTCCAAAGCAGTCTTTTTGGTTGACTCCTCCTAAAATCCTGTAGGATAGGTGCTATCCTTACCTCTGTTGTTTAGATCAGGACACTGAGACTCAGAGAGTTGAGATGACTTGCCGAAGGATACATAAAAGATGGCAGAACTGTGGTCAGGGTCCAGGTTTGTCTGGCTCCGAAGCCTGTGTTTTCTCCATTCTACAACCTGACTACTCAAGATTTGACAATTCCTGGTCTCAGCCCTTGATCAGAGAGGCAGGATAGCATCGAACCCTGGAACTACCATTACTAGCTGTGTGCCCTTCATCAAGTTCCTTAACCTCTCTGTGTCTCTGATTCCTAATCTTTAAAACTGGGGTGATAATAGTATTAATCTCACAAGGTTGTTGTTAAGATTAAGTGAGTTTACCAATGTAAAGCACAGATGATAGTGTCTGACTCATGGTAAGTATTACATATGTTAGCTCTTGACTTATTCTTCTTATTATAGTTGGGGGCCAGGAGGCTCAATTGGGACAGCTTTACCCAAGCTCTGAGTTAGGGTTTGCATATTGGAAAGAAGAGCTGAATGTTATTACTGAAGAAGGGTCCTAAAGATTTATCCAGACACCAGAGTTTCATGTTGAGAAGTTTAGCAGGTACAAATTAACAACCCAAGCTTGGATATGAAAGATATGTCACATTTACTGACACTACTTAAATCTAATTAAATCTAACCTTGAGTCCTGACCTTACTGGGCTTGTCAGAAAATTCTATCCCAGGTATTACTGGGGATCCCTCCATGCTTCAGTCACCTATTGCTGTGTAACAAACCACCCCTACTCAGAGGTTTAAAACAACAGCAATCCCCCTCTTGCTAACAAACCTGCAGTTTGGGCAGACCTTGGTGGGGAGAGCTTGTCTCTGCTGCATTTGGTACCAGCTGAGGCAGCCTGCCGGGCGACTGGAGGATTTGCCTGCGGGATGCTCACTTCCAAGGCTGCCAGGTTGGTGCTGGCTGTCAGCTGGGAGCTCAGTGGGCTCTGGGTTGGGGGTCCTGGTATCTCTCCACTTGGGCTTCTCCATGGGCCATCTGGCTTTCTTCAAGTCATGGCAGCTGGATTCCAACCAAGATCAAGCAGCTCAAGAGAACCAGGCAGAAGCTATATCAACTTTTATGATCTAGCCTTGGAAGTCACAAAGCGTCACCCTGTCTTAGCCACAAGTTCTCCCAGATTCAGTGGGAGAGAATATATATCCCACTTCTCCATGAGAGGCATATCAACACCATATTACAGGAAGAATAGATGCAATGGGAGATAATACAGCAAACACTTCGGAAAATATAATCTGCCACTCCCCCAACCAAAAGATTAGCTGAAGATTCTAGAGTCTTTCAAAAGCTAAACATTTTGGCTGGCTGTCTCTAGACCTTGGCCCAGGTGAGCACTGCTCTGATGCCCAGGGTCCGAGACTGGGACTTCCAGGCCTGTGACTCCTGTGTGGTCAAAAAGGCAGCACAGCCAAGGGGTCCTATACAAGCTTAGACTCCGGGCCAGATGCCCAGCTCTATCACTCACAGGCTGTGTGATTCTGAGCCTCAGTTTCCTCATCTGTGGAGTCAGGATAATAATGACATTCCCTCACATGGTTTATGGAGGTTAAATGAGATAATATTTATAAATTACTTAGAAAAGTGATGGGTTCATAGGAAGTTTTATTAAATAAAATCTATCCAATAGTCCAGCCAAGAATTACTGAGCACTTACTGTGTGCTGGGTACCAAATAGAATAGAGCCAAGGGCCCAGTGCAGGTGCCCTGGGGCAGGGGGTGCTTGGGGACATTGCTTCAGTAGTTCTCAGCTGTGGTACTGTGTTTCATAGGATGGTCATATCGATTTACATTTCATCCCCTGTGCTCTTACAATGTGATATAGGCCCATTTTCATCAAGAGTGGCATGTATTCCCTCCCGTGAGCCTGCACAGATCTTTGTAACTGCCTTGACCGGCACCAGAGCATGGAGGCAGCAGTGTAACTTCTGAGGTTAGGCCAGAGAAGGCGTTCCAGCTCCCACCTTGTCTGCTGGATCACTTGCTTGGGGGGAAACAGATGCCACACTATGAGGACTCTTGTCAAATTTGCTCTTAGAAGTTTGAGATGTATCTGCTTAACGCTGACCTCCTCCACTGGACTGTCAAGTGCCTCACCCCAGGGTTGTTTTTTCTCCCATGGACTTTTGGTCTGTAGCACCCAGCACAATGCCTGACACCTGAATGAATGAACCCTGAACAGAGGGAGGTAGAGGATGGTTGGGTTGAGGCTGGACACCCCACCCACCTCTCCCCTGGAGACATTCCATTCAATTTAGTGCCACCTTCTCAAGCAAGCCTGGCTTGGCACCTTCAGACCAGGCCAGGCCCCACTGTTATGCACTCTCTCAGCTCCACGTACCTTTTCTTGACAGCATGTATCTAAATGACAGTTATTTGTCAGCTCACCTGTTTAATGTCACCCTTGCTTATCTGGAATATAACTATCAGTTATTGGACTGTTGTATTCTAAGGGCTCTAAATGACAATCAGTTAGCCTTGCGATCAGTCCCACAACATATTATTTTTCCCACCCTACGGAAGGCGAAACTGAGGTTTGGAGAGGTCAAACAGAAGATAGTTTAGCCAGTAGAGCAAGTCAGGATATGAACCCACTCAACTGACCCCAGAGACTGTGCTCATAACAACTGAGAATGGCCTCACTAAGAATCTCTCCAGGGCAAGCCCACATCTATCTTGTTCACCAATATATCAAAGGACCAGACAGCAGCCTGGAAAAAAGAATGCCCCTAAGTCAGTCCCAGTATTTAGATTCCATGTTTGCAAACTGGCTTACTTGCTAAAATTTATTTTAAACTCCAAATCACTACTCTTGGCACTTTTGTGGTCGTTCATAGCCATGCACAGAGTGGTAAAACACAGAGTCACCTACCACGCGTGCTCCCAGCTGAGATCGAGCGAGGTGACACTCTGCTTGTTCTCACTCTCACACTGTGAACAAGCATCCTTTCGCAGTCCATTTAATGCCATGTTTTTTGCATGTTTGTCCCTTTTTGCTGGTGATTTCACATTTGCAACAGCCCCACAGCAGGGCTGAAGCACGGTTCCTGTGCACGGGGAGGCTGTGATGTGCCTTACAGAGAAAACAAGTGTGTCAGATGAGCTTCGTTCAGGCGTGAGCTGTAGTGCTGCTGTCCATGAATTCAATGTTAGTGAATCAACAATATAGTAAATAAAAAGTCTTTTAACAGAAACACATATAAAATAAGGTTATGTACTGATTGGATGAGAAAAAGTTGTTGTGACCAGAGGCTCACAGGAACCTACTGTATTTTCCTTCTGAGCGACACTCAGTATTGGCTAACTCAGGGTTCACAGTGACTTTACAGAACGTAACTGCCTCGAATAACCAGAACCAACTGTATATCACAGAAAGTGGCTTCATGAACAAATGACTGGCAGGCCAAAGCAGATAGCAGGGCAAATCAGGCATGGATAAGGTATGTGCTGAAGGCTTGGTTTCTTGCTGTCCTCTCCCTGCTCAGGGGTCAAAGTCACCAAGGTGGACTGGCAGCAGCTGAGGAACTGTGCTGCCCACCGCACAAGGGAGTACCCTGGCCCTGAGCTGGTGGTTCGCAGGGGCCAGACATTCGTCTTCACATTGGAGCTGAACAGACCCCTGGACAGCGAGGAGACCCTCATCTTCACAGTGAAGACAGGTAACTGGCTCACCAGCACCCTTCACTGGTCTACAGTCAGAAAGATTTATCTGGTGACCAGTGACCTGAGACCCTGTGGTCATCAGCCCAGACTTCAAGGGAAGCAAGTCCCTGTAAGTGGGCTAAGCCCCAGACCCTGGAGACTTTTGATGACAGCTTTCTGAGGATGGCTTAAAGTTGTTGTTAGCAGGCAGTGGGAGAGATGAGATGACTCTGGAATTCCTTGCATACCAAGGAATCCAGGACTTTTGAGCTCAATCTTTTCTTTCCTGGACTGACAAAAGGCAGACTATGGTTTCAAAGGGTCTTTCTCTTTTATCCAGGAGGTGGCAGGTGGAGGGGATGAAGGGACCATCAGAACAGCTGAGGTGGGCCCCAGTACGCCTCTGACCTTGTGTCTTGACGAGGTCCTTCCCCGCAGCAGTGTCCCAGCAGCTCAGCAGTTTGACCGTCCAGGCCTGTAGCTTTTCCACTTCTCTGGAGCTGGGTTACCCCAGGGGCATCTGGGTGTCCTGATTCCCTTTCCTCTCTGCCAGGACCACAGGCTTCCGAGACCCTCCGCACCAAAGCTGTTTTCCAGACATCAGAGCTCAAAGTGGGCAAATCCTGGACAGCAACGAAGGAGGCTCATACCGGGAGCACCTTGACTGTCAGCCTCACCAGCCCTCCCAATGCCATCATTGGCCGCTACCTTCTGAGCACCAGGATTTCCTCTCGCCGCAGACATAGTGACCTGAAGCTGGGCAGATTTGTTCTCCTTTTCAACCCATGGTGCCCAGGTGGGAGCTGGCAAGTCTGTCCTAGGGGTGGGCCTGCCCTCAGCTGGAGCCCAGGAGGCAGTTAGGCAACAAGTAGGTGAATGCCTAGAGCCTGACGAGAGTCAGACCTAAGCAGAGGCGGGCACTGGGCGCAGGAACCTGGTAGCAGGTGCTACGGAGGAGCCTCTGGGCCAGAGGGGCAGGAATCGGAGGTTTCTGGTGTGCAGAGGCCAGCAGGCAGGGACGGAGCCTCGTGGGAGGAGAGGCGCCGCAGGGGAGAGCAGCCGGCTGCAGCCGGCGAGCAGCCGTGGTTCAGTCCCGGCTCCGCTGCTTCCCTCCGTAAGTCTCAGTGTCCTCATCTATAATATGAGAATAATGTGGTGCCCACCTCTAAGGGGTATGGTGATAATTCATACTAATGCTTGTAATGTACAAGGTACCTCATAAGGGATACTAAGGTCAATATTCTTATTAATATTGAAGAAATATGATGCTACTGTTGGCATCAACTAGAATCACCCAAGGGCATCAGGAGTCCTAAAATCCCTCATTCTTGGACCAGATTGCAGTTGATCCCTACCTGGGGAAGGCCAGCCTGGTAGAATGGGGCTTGGCCAGAGGCAGCCTGGGAGCCTGGCAAGCCCCCTCTTGCCCTCTGCTGTCCCAGCCAGCCTCCAGGCACCATCCTGCTGCTCTCCCTGATGTAGCCCCTTCCCCAGGCCAGCAAGGCCAGAGCCCTAGCCCATGCTGGGCCTGATGACTGCTTTTCAGAGGACGACGTGTTTCTGGCATCAGAAGAGGAGAGACAGGAGTATGTGCTCAACGACAGCGGGATCATCTTCCGAGGCGTGGAGAAGCACATCCGAGCCCAGGGCTGGAACTACGGGCAGGTCTCCAGGGGCACCGCCAGACAGGGCATGCAGGCTGGGGTGTGCAGAAAGACAGCCCAGGAGCCCCTCTGTCTGCTCACTTCTCCACAGGAGGGACAAGCTGGGCTGACACCTAGAGCACATTCATTCACTCATTCAGCACTCTCAGTTGTGCAGGGCTGCCCTGGGTCCTTGGGAGGGTGGGTGCCTTGGACAGTTTGCTGTGGAAGGATACATAGCTCAGATCAGGGGTTCTCAGTCTTGAGCATGCAGCCAAACCCCATGGCAGGCTCTTTAAAACACACAAATGGCTGGGCCCCATCCCCAGAGTTACTGATTTGGTAGGTCTGGGCTGGGGCTTGGGAATATGCATTGCTAACAAGGTCCCCAGCTGCTGCTGCTGGTCTGGGGCTACACTGGAGGGCCACTGGCTTAGATAAACACTTACAATTCAAGGTGCAGTGTAGGGGTTGGTGAGAGTCAGAGTGACAGAGGTGAGAGGTGAGGGAGAGTTCAGAAGAGCATGAGAGAAAACCACCCTGGGCATCACAGAAGGCGTCATGACGGCAGGGCTACATGTCCAGAGTTGGGCAGGATCTGGACAGAGGGAAGAGCAGACAGAGCTTAGCGGAGGTGGGAAGTCAAGGCATGGTTTGGCTCTGCTGGAGGAGTTCTGTCTGCCTGGCCTCAGACACCCACCTGGAAGAAGACTGGCCAGGCAAGTTAAGGATCTTGACTGTCAGGCTGAGGAGCTAGGGCCTGAAAGCACCTGAGGGATACACCGGAGAGTTACCTAAGGGGTAACCACTTCTCAGCACCCACCTCTTGTTGCATGTGGGAAGGTGACCCCAGGTTCCCAGACTTTTCAAATTTCCAGAGACCAGAAATCCTAATTTATATGTAAAAATCCCCCAGTTTTTAAATATTCTCAGTTAATTCAAATGTATTTGAAAGAATCATGTAAACTAAATGAGCACCCAGTGGGGTTACCCATTTACCACAAACTTAACTATGGGTAGTGGGGGGCCAGGGGCAGTTATTGAACAGGGGAAGGTCGTGAGTAAGGGTGAGCTTCTGGTTCATGGCAACCCTTCAAGGAAGGGTTTCTGAGATGTGGGGATGCTCTGTGATGTCCCCGAGAGGGTCAGCAAACTCCCCTGCATGGCCCAAGTGACTAGTTGAGGGTCATGGGAGGGTCTGGAATATGGGTGAGGCTCTGGCATCTAAGTACAGCCTTTTGGGGACAGTTTGAGGAGGACATCCTGAACATCTGTCTCTCCATCCTGGACCGAAGTCCTAGTCACCAAGATGACCCAGCCACTGATGTGTCCCACCGCCACAACCCCATCTATGTCTCCAGGACCATCAGTGCCATGGTGAGTAGCCCCACAACCCATCTGACACTCCCTCAGGGGTCCCGGGCCACACCCAATGATCATTCCCATCACCTCTTGTGTTAATTCTCCATTGCTGCCTAACAAACCACCCAAAACTCAGCAGCATAAAACAACTACTTACCATGCTTACAGTTTTGTCTGTCAGGGACTTGGGCGCAGCACTGTGTGGATGGCTTGTCTCTCCTCCAGAACGCTGTCACTGGGGTGTCTGAATGGCTGCAGGTGTCTGGATGGTTTGATGAAACCATGTATCTGGGGCCTTGGTTCTGCCAGTCAGTGGTTCCTGGTTCTCTCCCATGCCCCGTCTGCTGGGACTGGACTATCAACAGGCTTGCTCACTCTCATGCGTGGTCCCTGGGCTGGGATGGTTAGAACAGCTGCAGCCAGCCAGCTGTGGCTCTGTTTCTCCGTGCAGCCTTTCCACGTGACTAGCTTGGGCTTCCTCACGGCATGGCAGTCTCAGGGTAGTCAGGTACAGCAGCTGGCTTCTCCCCAAGCAATTTTTCCAATAAAGAGGAAATGGAAGCTTCCAGTCTCATAAGGTCTAAGCCTGGAAACTGATGCAGCATCACTTCTGCCACAGCCATGCATCACAGCAGTCACGGCCAGCCTAGATGCAGGGGAAGGGGTCACAGACCCACTTCTCCATCTTTAATCTGTTACTCACCGCAGTAGTGCTCCCTCCTCAAAGAGCAGCCAGAGGGCCTCCTAGCTCTCTCTCGGTAGTAAGCAGGTGTTAGGGTCAGCGGGTGGGTAGCTGGAATGCCAAAAATGGACAAAGCTGTTTATCCCATATTTGGTTCTCTGCATTCCTCCAGACCTCAGAGAGAGTCAGAGCACAGAGACCCACAAGCAGCGATCAGTTCCAAACAGCAGTGGTACAGCCCCGGGGGACAGCAGTACAGGCTCCCAGTCAAAGTCCTGAACTTTGGGGTCGCCTGCACCTTTTGATAACTTGGTGTGTGATTTGAGAAAGTCCCTAAACCCTCTCTGAATCTCAGTTTCTCATCTGAATAAAAAAAAATAAGAATGCCATAGAACCTTAAAGACGTTAATGTAGTATGCACAAAGTCCTTAGAGCACACCTGGTCCCCAGTGAGTGTTTAATGTAGGTTACCTGTCTCTATAGTTATCATACTGCCAACAGTCCCCAAAACAAATCACTTAAAACAGGAAATGCCCTAAAACCACAGTGAATTTTCCACAATAGAGTAGCTTGATGGTAGATACTGAAAATGATAAATAGTACCAAAAAGTAGGTATTTCAAAATAGCAGATGCCCCCAATTTTCAGATAATTTAATAGTAAGGGGTGACCCTAAATGACTGGTCCAAAGTTGGAGATGATTTTACGATGGCAAGGATCCTGAAGAAGGAAGCCCTGCCTGGTGGTGGACCCATGGCCTCCTCTGCCCAGGTGAACAGCAACAATGATCGGGGTGTCCTTCAAGGCCAGTGGCAGGGCAAATACGGTGGTGGCACCAGCCCGCTGCACTGGCGTGGCAGCGTGGCCATTCTGCACAAGTGGTTCAAGAGCAGGTTCAAGCCAGTCAAATACGGCCAGTGCTGGGTCTTCGCTGGAGTCATGTGCACAGGTACCCAGGGAAAGAAGGACCCCCATCAGCACCCTCATGTTCCTTCATTTGCAAATATTTACACAGACCCTCCCCCAAACCAGTCTTTCACTACTGGTGAGGGGGAGCTGGAAGCCTGGTTAATGACCAGAGAAATGAGATGGTTCATTTACATGACTTCTGATCTTTTATCTTGCAAGAATCCCACCTCCTTCTGCCACCCAGGCTCACTGAATGCCCTTGGGCGATTCCTGTGGTCCCCTAGGCCTCCAGTCCCCTCAGAAAAATTAACAAGCTATTACATGGCTAATATATGGCTTCCAAGAGCCTGTCTATTCAAATAGGGTGGCAGTCATGTCTCCAGAAATCCCCTGAGAGGGTGTACAGGAGATGGAGGTGTTTCTGAGGGTGGAGACAGGAGTGTCAGTCCTGGAAAAGTACACAAAGACAGAGAGGAGCTGTGGGCAGTGGGGGAGAAGGCCAGACCTCACCCTGAAGTCAGGGTCTTGGCCCCTGGAGCCACGCCAGCCTCCTGCTCTTCAGTCCTTAGGTGCTTGGGGATCGCCACACGTGTTGTGTCCAACTTTAACTCCGCCCATGACACGGACAGGAACTTGAGTGTGGACAAATATGTGGACTTCTTCGGGCGGACCCTGGAGGACCTGACAGAAGACAGCATGTGGTGGGTCTTAGGCCTGTTGGGTCCCTGCCCGCAGCCCACCAGAGGGGCTCCCCAAGGCAGACGCAGAGCTGGAGCCTGAGCGAGTGCAGAAGGAGAAAGAGGCGCCCTGCCTTGGGGGTGGTTGTGAGCGAGTGACTCCTCTTCTCAGACGCAGGGGTCTTGGGGCACATGACTCAGAGGTCAAGGGGGCTTGCCTTGAACCCCCACTTCTCCTTGTGGGACTCAGCCCTCCCCAGGATTCCTGTGACTTGGGAGTGGGGCCAAGATTCCCTCCCCATTGTTACCCGTATCAGCTCCTGCTTCTCTGACAGCTGCCCGTGCACCATGCTGTGTGTCCCAGGTGGGAGACAACCTCTTTCCCCAGCTCAAACAAAACTGTTCACACCAAGCTTTAAAATTTTAATTTAAATTTAATATTTTAATGTAGGGAATACATTCATGTTCTTTACTATTCAAAGAGTACAAAATGGGTTACCGTGTACACCTCTCCCCTGCCTGGTTCCAGCCTCCCTTTCCTCCATGCCGGAGGCAACAATATGACTAGTTTCTTACATCTCTTTTCGGGAAGAGGCTCAGCAGGTACAAGCACACACATATACATCTGGCCCCTCTCTGCCCCACTTTTTACCCACTTTAAATTGGCAGCATAATGTAATACTGTTCATCTTGCTCATACCCTTGACAATAAGTAAATACAAAGTTTCCTTATTTTTTGTAGTACTTAAAATGACACCACCACACTCAGTGACCAGCTAGTGTAAACCAGGCCCTAAGTGCTGTGTGTATACTGACCCATGTACTTCTCCAAATAGCCTTGTGAGCATGCGAGGAAGGTTCCCAAATCCTATCTCTATGTCGCAGAGGAGGAATTCAAGGCACAGAGAGGTTAAGTGATGTGACTTCACAGCTAGTGAGTGGAAGATCAGGGGTATGAACCTGGTCAGCCTTCAACTGTAGAGAAACTACAGTAATCTAACCATTGCACATGGATGGACCGAATGTTTGCCTTTACAAACAACGCTTCATTGAATGACCATGCCCTGATGTCTGTCCCATGCATGTGAAGTTGTCCCACAAAGCCAACTTTCTAAGGAGCAGGGGCAACAGTGAAGAGCACACAATACAGAAACGTAGACAGCCTCGGCATCCCTGTTCTTGGAATGTCCTTGAGCCGCCCCAGGGGAGCTTGCCCAGGTGCTCCAGCCCCCCAGTGCCCCCTCATCCCATCTCTCTGCCTCTCTTCTCCCCTTCCCTTTCTCTTCTTGGTTTTCTTAACTCCCTCTCCCTGCAGGAGCACCAAAAAACTTGCATTTTTCTCTCTTCATGCACAATGGACACATGCTTCTTTTTGATGTTGGGGCCTCTGTCACCACACGGGGTATTAGTGCCTCCCTTTCACCCGCAAGTGCTTATCATGATATTTTCCCAAACAAAGACCCTTACCTCCTAAAAAGGAGTTCCGAGGCCAGCCATAAAGATGCCACCTCAGGCAAACCAGGGTTTCTCTCTGCTGCCTCCTTACTATGTGACTATGTGCAAATGATGTCACTTTTCCTAGGCTCATATTCTCATCTTTAACATAGGAAACTTAAAAGAAAGCCTAACCTCCTTACCAAACCCTACAGAGCTCTACCAAATCTGCATGCTACCTACCTCCTGTGCTAGCTATAGCCCAGAGATACGTACATACTTTCTGTTCCTAAGCTCTTTTTTGTCTCAAGAGACTTTGCACATGCTGTTCCTTCCCTGGAACACTGTTCTCTTCCCTCTTTCTATAACTAATCTTTTCTCACTTGGTCTCATCTTAGACAACATTTACCTAGAGTAGGTTTCCAGCAGTCATTCTCTACTCAAGTCTCTCTCTCTTCACAGCATTTATTGTCACATGCATTTGTTTTATTTATCTGCTTACTTAACTGCCTGTGTCCTCGTCTGTCTCCTCTGTTAGAATGTAAGCCCATGAGGGCAAGGATCTTCTGTCTTACACTGAACAACAAGTTGTTGAAATATATACACACATGCATACCTATACATACACACATATATATATACATATATACAGATCATATGTGCTCATTCATAAAGTTGAATGAATAGTTCACAAGACTCAGCCACAGTGTGCCTGCAGAGCTCCAGCCCAGCACCTGACTCACAGTGTCACTTACCTTCTCTGGGCCTCTGTGCTCACTGTAGGCAACCTTGTTCCATCCTCTCTGTGGCAGGAATTTCCATGTCTGGAATGAGAGCTGGTTTGCCCGTGAGGACCTGGGCCCCTCTTACAATGGCTGGCAGGTCCTGGATGCCACCCCCCAGGAGGAGAGCAAAGGTACAAGCTCCCGTGGGTGGGTCCCAGACCCCTGCTTTTCCTCACCCTGATGCTCACACCCACCCCTCCTGCCCAGGCATGTTCCGGTGCGGCCCGGCCTCCGTCACTGCCATCCGTGAGGGTGACGTGCACCTGGCCCACGATGGCCCCTTCGTGTTTGCAGAGGTCAATGCAGACTACATCACCTGGCTCTGGCAAGAGGACGAGAGCCGGGAGCGTGTGTACTCAGACACGAAGAAGATCGGGCGATGCATCAGCACCAAGGCGGTGGGCAGCGACTCCCGTGAGGACATCACCGGCCTCTACAAGTACCCAGAAGGTAAGAGCAATACGGAAGCCTCTACCAGCCTCCCCAGGATGACCCGTCTGCTGAAGAGGGGCAACCACAGCCTGGCCTGGGGCCAGGCCCTTTCCCATGCATTAGGCTGGTGATAGCTTCATTCAGCACTGTCTCTGTGCTTTTGAACCAAGTGCCTTTAGCTTATATAAATAGCTTCCTCTGTTTGTAAGTAGATTTCCCACATTATATAAATAGCTTCCTCTGTTTGTAAGTAGATTTCCCACATCTAATAATAATAGCTACACTTCCTTGAACACTTACTATGTGCCAGGCACTGTCTATTCACATATGACAATAATAATTACTAAAAATAAGGATGATAGTAGCAAGCATTATTTTCTGACACCTTAGGAAACATAGCACTGGGCAAAGTTCAAAATAATAACAATAATAGCAGCTCCCATTTATCACCAGCCAGAGCCTATACCATGGCTACTAATTTGTGGTCACCAGTACTTTGTTGGTATTTTTTGAAGAGCTTGTACATTTTGGTGTCTTTTCTAGTTGCTGCCTCCAGCTATACTGTAAAAGTTGCCCCATGGAGTAACAGGCCCCTTAGCAATGCTGTGATCTGATCCATCTATTTTCAGCCATTTCTGCCCATCAAAACAATGTCATTGAGTACTTAAGACTTGAGGTTCAAACTTGAAGCACAGCTATTCTCCTCCCCATCCCTGAGCACAAGCCAGTGACCCAGAAGGCTGCTGTAAATGAAGGGCATGGTCTACTCTGGATGCCTCCACCCATCCTCTCACCTGTAGCATGGTGGTTTGCAGCTCTGGTTGCAAACCAGAACCTGGAGCACCTGTGGCATCCAGAACCTGCCAAACAACCCAAATGTCCCAGGTGGTTCTATAGATGAAATAACAATGGTTTATTTGCTCAGTATTCTGTGGGTCAGCAATTTGGGCTGTGCTCAGCTCAGATGGCTCATCTGCTCCACACGGTGTCAGCGGGAGCATGTCTGACTCCTCATACAGGGCTGCTGGGGTGGCTGGGGCTCTCTCCCCACCTGGCCTCTCCTGCACCAGCCCTCACTATGCACGTGGCAGCAGACAATGAGTGTTGGTGAGGATGTATGGGACCTTCATACATTGCTGGTGGGAATGTACAATGGTGCAACCACCTTGGAAGAGAGTTTGACAGTTTCTCAAAATGTTAAACACAGAGTTACCATTACAACCCAACAGATGAACTTCTAGGTACATAGCCAAGAGAAATGAAAACAAACATCCACACAAAAACTTGCACATGAACATTCATGGCAACATTATTCAAAACAGCTAAAGAATGGAAACAACCCAACTGGGTAAATAAATGTGGTATATCCACACAATGGAATATTATCCAGCAATAAAAAGGAATCAAGTCTGATACATGCTGCAACATGGGTGAACCTAGAAAACACGAAGTGAAAAAAGCCAGCCACAGAAGACCACACAGTCTATGGTTTCTTTTATATGAAATGTCCAGAATAAGCAAATTAGACATTAGATTAGCAGTGCCTAGAGCTGGGGTTGTGGCAAAGAGGGATGGGAAGTGACTGCTAATGGTTATGGAGTTTCTTTCTGGGGTGATGAAGTGTTCTAAAATTAGATCATGGTGATGGGTACATGACAGTGAATATACTAAAATACTGAATTGTATTCTTTGAATGAGTGAATTGTATTTTATGGAATTAGACATGAATAAAGCTATTAAAAAATAAACCAGGTGGTCAGAGAAGGTCTCCCTAAGAAAATGACATTACATTCTTTGGCAGGGAAGTGAAAGATTTTTATAGTGATATAGTTATATATTGAATATATTATGAATACATTATGGAGTAGAGTGCAAAGTTCACATACATTTTAATAATAAAACTTGAGATGTTAAAGAGCCTTTAGGTCCATATGGGTCCTTCAAGCCCCAGCCACACAGTATTAAGGTACTTCGGGGATAACGTATGGGAAGGGGTACACCACAGGTTTCAAGTAGGGAAATGGAACCATCACAGTTGGATTTGGTGATGACAGGGGTGGAAAAAGGACTGGAGCAGGCGGTGGGGCCCACATTCCCAGGAGGGAGGGGCCATACTTGAGCATTGTTCTCCGTGCCTTCCCTGTGGGCCTCTTGTCTCCACTGTACAGATGGGGGGAAAGTGAGGCTTGGAGGGGCTAAGAAATGATAATAGTAATAAAAATCCACTATCTCTGGTGGTACACAGACCTGACGGTGAGGTGATTTATATGGTGGTCTGATGGGAGAAGAGTACAGAGTCTAGAGATCAGTGAGGATGTTCGGCAGGACTTGAAGACTCATCAGTTGTGGGTGGTGAGGGTTTGGGAAGAGTTAGGGACACTCATAGTTTCTGGCTTGCACACTGGGTGAATGGTGGAGCCATTTGCTGAGATGGAAAATGCTGCCAGGCAGAAGACGTCATGTTTGGTTGGATTGGGGGCACCTGTGGGACATCCTGGGGCAAGAGGAGGGAAGCAGCTGTCCAGTTGCATGTATTGGTCTGATGGTCAAAAGAGAGGTCTGCGGTAGCAACAGGGAGTGGGAGATCAGGGGTCCTAAATGCACATGTCTGTGGGAGCCTTGCAGATGGTACCCCGTGAGTGCAAGTCCAGTGGGAATTACAGGGTGGGGACCCCGGAGAACCAGAGAGAGCAGCCACTACTCAGCAGGAAACCATTACTGCTGTGCAGAGAGAGGGAAGGCAACATGCTCAAGAATGTGGAATTTGGAGCAGACTGCCTGGGTTCAAATCCTGGCTCCCTTGCAAGTTGCCTTATTTCTCGATGCATTAAGTTCCTCGTCTGTAAAACCAGAATGACAATAGTACCTACCTCCGAGAAGGAAAAATACCGTAACTAGAACTATAGTGCCTGGCACAGAGTAAGTCTACAAAGTGTCAGCTATCATTATCATCAGACTTCAGACCTAGTTGTCAGAGAAGCTGCAAATCTATATTTTTATGTGAAATTTTCTTATCTGAAGTTGTTGGCAATTGATTTAAAATTCCCTTAAATGATCCCAGAATCAAACGCAGTGCCTGTAACTGAGGTCTGCACATGGCTTTTGGACTGCCAATCTGAGACCTCCCACAGCCCTGGTGGGCTAACATGGTGAAGGAACGGTGGTGTTGCCTAAAGAAGAGGGGAAATGAGAATAGGTGGCCCCGGACAGGTGCAGGAGGAACAGGGGCCTCACCATGCGCGATGCCCCACAGGGTCCCGGAAGGAGAGGCAGGTGTACAGCAAGGCCGTGAGGAAGCTGTTCAGCGCGGAAGCTCCCGGGAGGAGGGCCCGGCTGCGCAGGGCCGGCGGCCGCGGTCTCCGGCGCGACGCCCTCCTGGAGCCCGCCACCAAGCCCAGCATCACCGGCAAGTTCAAGGTGCTGGAGCCGCCCGTGCTGGGCCACGACCTGAGGCTGGCCCTGTGCTTGGCCAACCTCACCTCCCGGGCTCGGCGGATCCGAGTCAACCTGAGCGGCGCCACTATCCTGTACACCCGCAGGCCGGTGGCAGAGATCCTGCACGAATCACACACAGTGAGGCTGGGGCCGGAAGAAGGTAAGAGCGCCGCCCGCTGCGCGGTGGGACCAGCCCGACCCCTGTCCAGGAGCGGCGGGGCCGGACTTCGGGAATAATGTAAAAATGCATTCATTCCCGAGAAGGTGGGGTTATTTCTGAGCATTTGCTCAGAGCCTTGCCTCTTGTGCCCACTTCACAGCTGAGAAAACTGAGCTTAGAGAAGGTGAATAAGAATAGTAATGAAAGTCCACAATCCTCTGGTGGCAAACTTGTGCGATAGTGAGATGATCCCAGCTAGTGTGAATATTCACAAACGGAATAAATCCCTCCTGGAAGCATTTCCCAATATATGGAGTATGCTTTGCGTTGCCTTTCTAAAATCCAACAACTCCTGCAGCCCATCTGGCTCCAGGTGTTCTGTATGGCAGGAGTGGACTAGTAAGTGACGTTTATTAAGTGCTGACTTGTGCCAGGCCCTGTCCTGAGATTTCCACCTTCACCAGGGGCCACCTCCAGGACCACCCTCTCTCCTCCTCTCCTCTCTTCCCGTCCTCTCCCTCTTCCTTCCTCTCTTCACAGACATTCTGAATTGAGGATTCAATTAAACAGCGAAACTTTTCCTCTGGGCCACTTTCTGGTATGTGAAACTTGTGTTTTGACAGGATGTGAAAATATGTGAATGAGGTGTCACACATTTTTCACATTTTTGTTATTTGTTCTTCACAAAATCTAAATCATCACAGAATAACACTTTATGAGGAAATATCAATTAACATACACTTTTTCCTGGCTTTTTTCATATTCACTAAAGATTTAGAGGGCAGACAAGAGAAAGATCGCCTATGATCCTGCCACCCATCTACAAATTATTTAACATGTTTTCCTTCCAAAATTTAAATGCCTGTTGGTTTTTGAAAACAGTTCTAATTATATGGCAGACACTCATTGGTGCCCTGCTCTCTTCACATTACACTATAATTTAAATATTTTTGTACGCTGTTTATTCATATAACACTAATAAATGTGTAATCTTTAAATAAATGTATGGCGATTTATCTTTTCCCTTCTTTTCAATAGTTATCAGCTTATTACTATTCTTTTTAAAGCAAACAGCTTGATTTAAAAATATCCCTTTTTTTGTCTGGGTTTTCAACTGTTTTGTTAAAAGAGATTCAAAAAATGGGACTACTGAACCAAAACATCTATTAAAATATAATTTATTAAAATTTATAATTTTTCAAATTAATAGACTATTTTTACTAGTTTTGGTTTACATAAAATAAAGCAGAAAGTACTGAGTTCCCATATACCCCCTCACCACCTTCCATTTCCCCTATTATTAACACCTTGCATTGATGTGGTACATTTATTATAACTGATGAGCTAATACCTGTATATTATTATTAGCTAACACCCATAGTTCACATTAGGGTTCACTCTCCATTGTACACCCTGTGGGTTCTGATGACTGTGTGATGACACGTGTCAGAACACCAGACAGAATCTCTTCTTCACCTTTTCGCTCCCTGCTCCCTCTCCTCAAACACCTGGCAACCATCGGTCTTTTTGCTGTCTCCATAGTTTTGCCATTTCCTGAATGTCATATAGTTGGAATCATACAGTCTGTAGCCTTTTCAGATTGACTTCTCTCACCTAGAAATATGTCCTTAGATTTTATGGCTTGCTGGATCATTCCTTTTTTGTTATTGAAGTACAGTTGATATTCAGTATTATATTGGATTCAGTATCCAACATAGTGATTTGACCATTATATATTTTTAATTTTGTTCTTGAAGTATAGTTAATATACTAAATTATATTGATTTCAAGTGTACAACATAGTTATTTAACAGTTATATATTGTTAGTAAGTCCCCACCCCAACTAGTGCAGTTACTGTCAGCATAGAAAGATGTTACAGAACTATTGATTTTATTTTCTATACTGTATTTTCATCCCTGTGACTAATGTATATTATGGTTGAGATTTTGTGCCTCTTTAGCCTCTTCACCTATTTCACCCACCCACCCCTATGCCTCCCCCATAGTAATACCAGTCACTTCACAGTGTCTGTGAGTCTACTGCTGTTTTCTTCATTTTGTGTTATTTTGTTTTTAGATTTCACATATAAGTGAAATCATTTAGTATTTGTCTTTCTCTGACTGTTTTATTTCATGTAGCATAATACACTCTAGGTTCACCCATGTTGTCACAAATGGCAGGATCTTTCTTTTTTATGGGTGAATAATATTCCATTGTGTACATGTACCACATCTTCTTTATATATTCTTTTATTGATGGATACTTTCTTTGGGTAAATTCTTATAAGTGAAGTTACTGGGTCATATGGTAGTTCCATTTTTAGTTTTTGAGGAAACCTCCATACCGCTTTCCATAGTGGCTGCATCAATTTACATTCCCACCAACAGTGTAGGAGGGTTCCCTTTTCTCCACATCCTTGCCAAAACTCTCTATTTCTAGTCTTTTGGATAGTGACCATTCTCTTGGATGTGAGGTGATATCTCATTGTGGTTTTAATTTGTATTTCCCTGATGATTAGTGATGTGGAACATCTTTTCATGTACCTGTTGGCCATCTGTATTTCTTCTTTGGAAAAAAAATGTCTATTTAGTTCTTTGTCCATATTTTAATTGGGTTATTTGTATTTTTGGTGTTGAGTCATATGAGTTCTTTATATATTTTGGATGTTAACCCCTTACTGGATGAATCATTTATGAATACACACTGTGGGTTGCTTTTTTTGTTTTGTTGATGGTGTCCTTTGATGTACAGAATCTTTTTAGTTTGATGTAGTCCCACTTACTCATTTTTTATTTTGTTTCCATTGCCCAAGAAAACATGCCCAGAAAAAAATTGCTCATGCTTATTTTTGAGAGATTTGAGCCTGTTTCCTACTAAGAGTTTTATGGTTTCCTGTCTTATATTTAGGTCTTTATTCCATTTCAAGGTACTTTTGTATATGGAATTAGAAAGTAATCCAGTTTCATTCTCCTGCATGTACCTGTCCAGTTTTCCCAACACCATCTATTGAAGAGACTGTCTTTTCTCCATTGTATATTCATGGCTCTTTTGTCATATATTAACTGACCATATAACTATGGGTTTATTTCAGGCTCTCTATTCTGTTCCACCGATCTATGGGTCTGTTCTTATGCCAGTACCATACTCTTTGGTTACTGTAAGTATAGCTTGAAGTCAGAGAGTGTAATACCTCCAGCTTTGTTCTTCTTTCTCAAAATTGCTTTGGCTATTCAGGATCTTTTGTGGTTCCATATAAATTTTAGGATTATTTTCTCTAGTTCATTGAAAAATGCCATTGGTGTTTTGGTAGGGATTGCATTGAAACTATAAATTGCTTTGGGCAGGATGGCCATTTTGACAATATTAATTCTTCCTATCCATGAGATGGGATAGATTTCCATTTACTTCTGTCTACTTCAGTTTCTCTCATGAGTGTCTTATAGTTTTCAGAGCATAGGTCTTTCAACTCTTTGGTTAGGTTTATTCTGAGGTATTTTATTCTTTTTGATGCACTTGTCAAGTGGAATCGTTTTCCTCATTTCTCTTCCTGCTAGTTCATTGTTAGTGTATAGGAATGCAACATTTCTGGGTATTGATTTTGTATCTCATGATTTTGTTGAACCCAGTTATTAGTTCTAATAGTTTTTGGTGGAGTCCTTGGTGATTTTCTATATATAGTATCATGTCATCTGCAAATAGCGACAGTTTTACTTCTTCCTTACCAATTTGGATGCCTTTTATCTCTTTCTGTTGTCTGATTGCCATGGCTAGGACTTCCAGCACTATATTGAATAAAAGTATGAGAGTGGAAATCCTTGTCTTGTAATCTTTCTGAATCTTAGAGGGAAAGCTTTCAGTTTTGCATCATTCAGTATGTTAGCTGTAGGTCTGTCTTACCTGGCCTTCATTATGTTTAGGTATATTCCCTTTATACCCATTTTGTTGAGTTTTTACCATGAATGGATTTGAATTTTGTCAAGTGCTTTTTCAGCATCTATTGAGATGACCATATGGTTTTTTATCCTTCTTTTTGTTAATATGGTGTATCACATTGATTGATTTACCATCCTTGCATCCCTGGAATAAATTCCACTTGGTCATAATGGATCCTCCATTTCATATATTTTTTAATTCAGTTTGCTAATATTTTGTTGAGGGGTGTTGAATCTATCTTCATCAGGGATATTGGTCAATAATTTTCTTTTTTGTAGCATCTTTGTCTGGTTTTGGTATTAGAATGATGCTGGCCTCTTAGAACAAGTTTGGAAATATTTCCCCTTCTATTTTTTGGAATACTTTCAGAAGGATCAGTATTAGCTCTTCTTTAAAGGTTGGGTAGAATTCAGCTGTGAAGCCATCTCGTTCCAGGTTTTGTTTTGGGGGAGGTTTTTGATTACCAATTCAATTTTGTTACTGGTAATTGGTCTACTCAGATTTTCTCTTTCCTCCTGGGTCGGTCTTGGGAGGCTGTACATTTCTAGGAATTTATCCATTTCTTATAGGTTGTCTGATTTATTGGCATGTAATTTTTCATAGAATTCTGTAATAATTCTTTATATTTCTGTGGTGTCAGTTGTAACTTCTCCTTTTTTGTCTCTGATTTTGTTTATTCGTGTACTTTCTCTTTTTCTCTTGATCAGTCTAGGGGTTTACCTATTTTGTTAATCTTCTTTAAGAATCAGCTCTCGGTTTCATTGATTTTTTTTTCTTGTTTTATTAATCCCTATTTTGTTTATTTCTGCTCTGACCTTTATTGTGTCTCTTTTCTACTAACTTTGGGTTTCATTTGTTCTTCTTTTTCTAGTTCCTTTAGCTGTGAGGTTAGATTGTTTACTTGGGATTGTTCTTGTTTCTTGAGGTAGGCCTGTATTGCTATGTACGTCTCTTTTAGAATTGCCTTTGTAGCATCCCACATATTTTGAACTGTTGTGTTTCTGTGACAGTATTTGTCTCCATGTATTGTTTGACTTCCTCTTTGATTTGTTCATTGATCCACTGATTATTTAGATGCATGTTGTTTAGTCTCCATGTGTTTGTGGGGTTTTTTTGTTTTCTTCATATAATTGATTTCTAGTTTCATATCATTGTGATCTGAAAAAACGCTTGATACAATTTCAATCTTTTTTAATTTATTGAGGCTCTTTTGTGTCCTAGTATGTGATTCTGGAGAATGTTCCATGTGCACTTGAGAAAAATGTGTATCCTCCTGCTTTTGGGTGGAAAATTCTGTAGATGTCTGTTAAGTCCATCTGGTCTAATGTGTTGTTCAACACCTCTGTTTCCTCATTTGTTTTCTGTCTGGATGATTTGTCCATTGATGTATGTGAAGGTGTTAAAATCCCCTAATATGATTGTGCTGCTGTCTATTTCCCCCTTTAGGTCTGTTAATATTTGTCTTATATATTTAGGTGCTCCTATGTTGGGCACATAGATATTTACAATTATTATATCCTCTTGTTGGACTGATCACTTTATCATTATGTAATAATGTTCTTCCTTGTCTCTTGTTGCTTTCTTTGTTTTGAAGTCTACTTTATCTGATAAAAACACTACTACTCCTGCTTTTTTTCTCCCTTTTATTTGCATGAAATATCATTTTCCATCCTTTCACTTTCAGTCTATGTATGTCTTTAGGTCTGAAATGAGTCTCTTAGAGGCAGCACATAGATAGACCATGTTTCTTTATCCATTCTGCCATCCTATATCTTTTGATTGGTGCATTTAGTCCATTTACACTTAAGGTGTATTGGTAGGTATATACATATTGCCATTTTATTGATTCTGGTGGTTTTTATAGTCTCTCACTGTTCCATTCTTCTTCTCTTATACCCTTCTCTTGTTATTTGGTGGTTTCTTTTAGGGTTGTGCTTGAATTTCCTTTTTTCTTTAATTTTTTTTGTGTGTATCTATTAGAGGCTTGAGATTTGTGGTTACCATAAGGCTCGTAGCTTCCTAAATATATGACAGTCTATGTTAAATTGATGGTTATTCTATTTCCAACATAATCTAAAAATATTATTTTTATTCTTCTTCCTCCTCCACACTTTATGTCATAATCTACATCTTTTGTGTATCCTTTGACTGATTTAGTGTATAGTTGATTTTAGTACTTTTGTTTTTTTAACTTCATACTTGCTTAGTAATGGTCTACTACCTTTAATGTAAATTTATTTTCACTGATGAGAAATATTTAGGTTTAAGAACATTTCAATCTACAGAAATCCCTTTAACATATCCTGTAAAGCTGGTTTGGTGGTGGTGAATTCTTTTAACCTTTGTTTATCTGAGAAAGTCTTAATCTCTCCTTCAAATCTTAATGATAACCTTCCTGGGTAGAGGATTCTGGTTGTAGGTTCTTCCATTTTAATTCATTAAATATTTCATGCCACTCCCTTCTGGCTTGTAAAGTTTCTACCAAGAAATGTACCAATAGCCTTACGGAGTTTCCCTTCCTCAGTTCCAGCAGTCTACTGTTCATTCCCTCTGTTGTATTTTTCATTTCAGTTACTATATTCTTCATCTCTGAGTGGATCTTTTTCGAATGTTCTCTTTGTTGAAGTTCTCACTGAGATCATCAATTCTTTTCCCTAGGTCAGTGACCGTCTTTATTTCTGTTACTTTGAAATCTTTATCAAGAAGATTGCTAAGCTGTGTTTGCCCTTTTTCTGGTGTCTTGTCTTATTCTTTTGTTTAGAACATATTCCTCTGCCTCCTCATTTTGTCTGGGTTTCTGTATTTCTTCCATTCTATTAGATAGATCCACTATACCTCCTGGTCTAGAGAGTAATAGCTTTCTGAAAAAGGTATCTGGTGGTGCCCAGAAGCTCAAGACTCTTTGTTACCAGTGCCTGCTTCTCCTTTGTGGTGGAGCCATGTTTGATGTTGGTGGACTGTTGGCAGGCCTGCCTTTCTGGCCGTCTGCCAACAGTGACTGATCTCTGTCAGCAAAAGCTGACATCTTGCCTCTGTGGCTTAGGAGGGACTTCTGCTGGGATTCCTTATGGGCAGGGCCACCCTCTGCCTGCCAGGAAGCAATGGTGGCTGCTGCTGGGCTGGGCAGTGGGGGTATGCAGGGGAGTGTGACTCAGGGCTGAGCCGCCAGTAAAGGAGTTGGAGAGTTTAGAGCTGACTTCCATGGGCAGCTTGAACATCTCATCAGTTGGGCTGAAAGAGGGCCAGAAAAGTTGGGAGAGTGTCCTCCCTCTGGCTGCCAGGCAGCAAAGTCTCACCACTGCTGGGCAGAGCAAGCCTGGCTGGGCAGATGCACAGGAAAGTGCACAGAAGGATGAGTGACCAGAAAGGGAGATGGAGCTTTTGGAATTGGCTCCTTTGAGCACCCAACCAGCTGGATTGAGGGAGGGCTTGGGGAGCCTTGTCCAGCTGCCCTTCCTCCTCTGGGGGAGTGCTTCCTCCAACCCCCACCTCTCTGGTACCCTTCCCACTGCTGGTAGATCTTTCAAATCTCTGTCTCTGTGTTGGGTCTCAGCAGAACCAATGAAGTGTCCCTGTCCTTCACAAAAGCAACAGGAGTCTCAGCCTCCCTGTGTCCAGCCCCATTAATCTCCAAAGCCAATGTAATGTGGACTCATGTTTCCTGAGCATATCTTCAGGGCCAGATGTGCAGGATTCCTGAGCACTTATTCTCTCCCCACTCTTCCTCTCCCTTCCACTTGTGGCCTGGGATGGGTGACAGGCTTGGGTCCCAATCAATCTCAGCTCTGCCTCTTTACCCTTCTCACTGTGGTCTTCTTTTCCCTACCAGATGTAGACTATTCTGCAGTCTTCAGGTTGTTTTCAGGGTTACTTGTATTTGCTGTAGTTGCTTCCTTGGTGTGTACACGAGAGGAGGTTTCTGCCTTGCCTTCCTACTCTGCCATCTTATCTCCTCTCTAATTCTTGCTCATTTCTTTTTACCACTGAATAGTATTCCTTAACATAGATGTACCACAGTTAATTTATCTATTTACCTACTGAAGAGCATCTTGGTTGCTTCCAAGTTTTGGCAATTACAAATAAAGCTGCTATAAACATCCATATGCAGGTTTTTGTGTGAATACAAGTTTTCAACTCATTTGGGTAAATACAAGGACTAGGATTGATGGACGGTATGCTAAGAGTATGTGTACGATTCTAAGAAACTGCCAACCTGTCTTCCAGAGTGGCTGTACCATTTTGCATTCCAACCATCAATGAATGAGACTTCTGTTGCTCCACATCTTCTCCAACATTTAGTGTTGTCAGTATTTTGTATTTTTGCCATTCTAATAAGTATGTAGAGTATCCCATTTTAGTTTGCAATTCCTTAATGATATATAATATTGAATATCTTTTCATATGCATCTATATATCTTCTTTGGTGAAGTGTCCAGATCTTTTGCCCATTTTTTAATCATGTTCATTTTCTTATTGTTGAGTTTTAAGAGTTCTTTGTATATTTTGAATAACAGTTCTTTATCAGATATGTCTTTGCAAATATTTTCTCCAAATTGTGGCTTGTTTTCTTACTCCCTTGACAGTGATCTCACAGAGAAGTTTTTCATTTTAATGAAGTGCAACTTACCAATTTTTTTTTCATGGATCATGCATTTGGTGTTGTATCTAAAAAGTCATCACCATACCAAAGACCTCTAGATTTTCTCCTATGTTATCTTTTAGGAGGCTTATAGTTCCACATTTTACATTTAGTCTTATGATCCATTCTGAGTTCATTTTTGTAAAAGGAAAAAGGTCTGTGTCTAGATTTTTTTTTTGCACATGGATGTTCAGCTGTTTCAGCTGCATTCACTGAAAAGACTATCTTTTTTCCATTTTATTTCCTTTGTTCCTTTGTCAAAGATCAGCTGACTATATTTGTGGGGGTCTATTTCCGGGCTTTACTTTGTACCATTGATGTATATGGCTATTCTTTCACCAATATCATACTGTTTTCATTACTATAGTTTTAACGTAAGTTTTGAAGTTGGGTAGTATCAATCCCAACACCAGTCTGATGCTGTTCTTTTCTTTCAATGTTGTGTTGGCTGTTCTGGGTCTTTCGCCTCTCCACATAAACTTTAGAATCAAATTGTTGATATCCATTTTATAACATGCTGGGATTTTGACAGGATTGGCTTTAGAAGAAGTTAGAAAGAACTGACATACTGACAATATTGAGCCTTCTTATCCATGAACATGAATATCTCCCCCAGTTATTTAGTTATTTGATTTCTTCCAACAGACTTTTATGGTTTTCCTCATGTAGATCTTGTGCACATTTTGTTATATAAATGCATTCTAAGCATTGTTATATAAATGCCTTCTAAGCATTTCCTTTGAAAACTAATGTAAATGGTATTGTTTTTAATTTCAGATTCCACTTTTAATTAAAATAGGGCATAGAGCTGTTATTGCCAGTACGTAAGAATGTAATTGACTTTCATATATTAACCTTTTATCCTGTCACCTTGCTATAATCACTTATTAGTTCCAGGAGGTTTTTGTTATTCTTTCAGATTTTCTATATAGATGATCATGTAATCTGTGAACAAAGATCGAAGAAAGTGCAACTATGAACTGAGCCTTCCCTTCCTCCTCCTGGGTTCTATTGAAAAAGAATATTGGACTCCCAATTCCTACCTGTGTTTTCCCTTTCAGAGAAAAAGATCCCAATTGCAATATCTTATATGCAATATAAGCAAGACCTGACAGAGGACAAGAAGATCCTATTAGCCGCCATGTGTCTTGTTGCCAAAGGAGAGAAGCTCCTAGTGGAGAAGGACATCACGCTGGAGGACTTCATCACCATCAAGGTGGCTACTCTCTGCATCCACCACCCTGTTCCTAGAAAGCCTCCTTCAGAGCTGGGGGAGGACATCAGAAGTTGGTGGGAGGGTGTACTTTTAGCTCTGGCTTCTGTACCCTTTTAAGGGTAGGGAGAAGTGGTGTGGATGCAAGGAATGGGTATAATGATAGGGCTCAGTAGGGGTATGTGGGAACAAGGGATAGACATGATTAATCTCCATACCAGAACCCAGTGAGGGTCCCAGCCAGGACCCATAGGTTTCCTGGGGAAATGGGGAGGAGGAGGGATGACTTATGAGTATTGTCCCTTCAGGTGCTGGGCCCAGCTGTGGTGGGGGTGGCAGTTGTGGTGGAAGTGATGGTGGTCAACCCCCTCTTGGAGAAGGTGGAGGACTGTATGCTGATGGTGGAGGGAAGTGGTCTTCTCCAGGGACAGCTCAGCGTTGAGTAAGTGTCAGCCTGGGAGTGGGAGGGCTGCCTTTCCTGTAAGATGCACCAGAGAGAAGCTGTCAGTGAAGGAGGATGGCAGAGATTCTGGACCCCAGAAACCAGTCCACTGCCTAGACACACCTGACTTCATTTACTTATTCATTCCTTCATTCATTTAATCACTTAGTCATGTAACTCCTCCATATACTCATTCATTTATATTTTCAGTCATTTATCCATTTACCCATTCACTCACTCTTTTATTCATGTTTTCAGTTATTCACTTATTCATTGATTACTCAGCTCAGTTTGACTGTTTCACTTACCCACTCATTCCTTCTTCAATTTGCTCACTCATTACATGTCCCTTCACTCGGTCTCCATTTACGCATTCACTCACTCATTCCCACATGTTGCATTCATTCGTGCATTCATTCATTCTCAATCATCCAGTCACTCATTCATGTAGTCCTTCATCATACTGACCTGATCAACATGTCAACTGTTGGGAACACCAAGATGAACAGATGGGGATTTACCTGGAAAAGGGCTCTCCGAGACAGTTGGCCCTTCAAATTAGGACAGTGTCGTTTTTGCAAAGGGATGGCTCCCCAGTGTCCAGGGGATCAGAGGCAGCCTTTGAATGGGGATAGGGTGGGACCAGGGGAAAGCCCCAGTGGAGCTTATATTTGAGCTGGGCCTTAAATGATGAACTGGGAAGCTTTTAGATATCAAGAATGGAGGGCTTCCTAGTGAGAGATCTCCATGGCTGACATGGTCAGGGGAGGTCTCCTGGAAGAAGATAAAGTTGAGCTGGATATCGAGTATGACTGGAATGGGAAGGGCCCCCTGGGTGGGAGGAAGAGTGTGGACAAAAGCCCGGAGAGTGGAAGTGTAAGGCATGTTCAGGACACAGGGCCGAGATGAGCCTGGCTGGTTGGAAAGAGCAAGAAGTAGTGGGAGGGAAGATTAAGCTGGAAGCAAATGGACAAGGTTTGAATGTCAAGCCACAAGGTATGACTTTGATCCCAAGGGCTCTGGAGGGCCATGGACTGGCAGTCCAGGCTCAGGAAGAAGAGCAAGCTGATGGTCTGCCTTTCTCCCATCCCCCTTCCCCAGTGTGCCCAGCCTGGAGCCCCAGGAGAGGGCCTCAGTCAAGTTTAACATCACCCCCTCCAAGAGTGGCCCCCGGCAGCTGCAGGTGGACCTCGTCAGCCCTCGCTTCCCGGACATCAAGGGCTTTGTGATCATCCACGTGGCCACAGCCCAGTGATGGGCCACAGGGGGCAAAGAGGGAAGGAGATGGCGCATTCCCTCCTGCCCGCCTCTTTGCCCCTCCCATGGGGGAGCCGGGAGGCCTTTGTCCCAGGGCTGCTTCCACTTCTGCCCCACTTTGTGAACTTGGGCAAGTCTGTTCCTCTCCTGAGCCTGTTTCCCCACCTATAAAATGAGGTTCTGGACTTGGTAATCTTTAAGCTTTCGGACAATGAGGGATGGTGTCGGGGGCCTCTACCACCTTCATCCATCACCCTCAGTGCTAGCAGGCTGACAAACGGAGCATCACAGCAGTCCCGGCCCGCTGGCTCTGCCAGCGTACTGGCAGACCTTCCAGAGCCCTGGCTGACCCTTAGGCGCTCCTTGCTTTTCTCTCAGCTCTTCAATGCTCTGACCACATCCAGACCCAAGAACCTTCCCAGTCCTGACAGAAAACCCAAAGTATTAGTGCTGACACCCAAACACCCCCACCACCCCCACTGTACGCAGAGGCAAGAGCCTTGCTCACAGCCACAGTGTGAGCAGAGGCAGAACTGGGGCCCCATCACTTTATATCACTTAAGTTTAACCCCAAAGTCACGTTCCTGAAAATCATGAGATCTGAAGCAATGGGAGATTTTACCTCAGTGAAGACACAGGCCCAGCAATTAAGGGGTTCCTGCCACCTGGAAGAAGCTGAAGACAGAGATGGGGCCATCAAGCCTGGGTTGCATTTGGGGATGCAGCCCCAAATCTGATCGGGTTAGGGCCATCACTTATCAAATACATCCAGCCCAGGGTTTCTCTGTCTCTTTGGAACCAGTGTTGACTTTGCAAAACTTCCCCAGCAGCCTATACCACACACAATCACATACTTAGCATCGAAACAGGACAGAGATCTCTGGGCTGAAGACCAAATGGAGACCACCAGGCCCTGAAGATAAGTGCAATAGACATGGAAATCAGCTCAGAAATTTCTTAGATAGCCAAAAGAATCATAACTGACCATATAATTTAAGCAATCTGAACAAAATGGCTCATCTGCAGTGAGACATTTCCTGATACAAACTTGAGTGGAAACAACTTATGTAGTGGTTCTTTGCAAAAAGAGGGTCAGGCAAACACACGGACTGTGTTTGATGGATGATCCTTATGACCAAGGCCTTAGTGAAGGCAATTCTCAGATGATTCTTACAATATGGGGACAGCTTAGAGAACTCAGAGAAGTGGATAAATGTAATGAGTCAGGCTCATGGGCTGCCTCAGCTCCAGGACCCCCTTTCCAAACCAGTTTTGGATGCTTATCCAGTGTAAGATGGGCAGCTGGGGGTTCAGAGCAGGAAGCATTTCCTCAGGGTTGAGCAGCAGGAAGGGGCGCAGGGGCTGAAGGCAGCGGGAGGTAACCTCCCACTCTCAGCAAAAGAGACACCCCTTTCAGCAGGGAGACCGATATGGTCTCCCTTTGCAGTGGCCCCAGACACCCATTCTTATAAGCAAAGGCCAACTGCCCATCTTCCTCAAGCTCAGCTGTCACAGGTTGAGCTTCCCAGGAAGCTGACTCTGCAATGGAGTTTAGGGTGCAGGGCATTTATTAAGGAATGACTAAGGATCGACATGATGGAAGGAAGGGGAGGTAGCAGACGTGGGCAGAGGGAGAAATTGAACCATGATGCAGGCCCAAGGACAGCCTAGGCTAATCCCACAGGCAGCTCTGGAGCTAGCACGGCCTGCCCGGTGTGTGTGTGTGTAGAAGCTACCTCACCGCCAATGAACACCCTGGTTGCGGGTGGGAGAATTGGGGACATTAAGAGAAGACAGCCCAAAGCAGTGTGGATGGAAACGCAGCTTTGAAAGCTGCAAATAAAAATGTGCAGGTAGGGATTACCTTTCTATTGGTAAAGCAACACCCAAACAATGCCATTCAGAGGAAGGACAGAACAGGGAGTTCAGAGTCTTACAGGCTGTGGGGACCCAGAAAATGTTTGCAAACCATGTTCTATTATCTAGAATATATAAAGAACTCTGGAAATTCAACATTAAAAAGAAAAAAGTCAAAAAACAATCTAATTAAGAAAATAGGCAAGACATAAACTTTTCACTGAAGAGGATAACAGGTGGCAAATTAGCACATGAAAAGATGTTTAATATTATTAACCAATAGGGAAATGCAAATTAAAACCACAGTGAGATAGCACTAAATGCCAACAAAATGGTTTAAAAGAATTAGTGACAATACCAAATGGTGGCAAGCCTGCAGAGAACATTGAAAATTCTTACATTGCTGGTATAAATGTGATTGTTACAGCCACCTTGGAAGACAGTTTAGCAGTTTCTAAAAAAAAAAAAGAACAAAAATAAAAGAAACATGCACTTCACATAGAACCCAGCAATTGCACTTTGCACTCCTGGCCATTTATTATAGGAAATGAAACTTGTGTTCACATAAAAACTTGCACATGAGTATTATCCCAGCTTTATTTGTAGTAGGCACAAACTGGAAATAACCTAGATGTCCTTTAACTGGTAAGTAATTAGACTGTGATGCATCCATATCATGGAATACTACCCAGCAATAAAAAGGAACAGACTGTTGATACACACAACACCTGGAGGAATCTCCACAGAATATGTGAAAAAAACCAATCCTAAAAGGTTACATAGTATATGATCCTGTTTATATAACATTCTTGAAATGAGAAAATTCTAGAAACGGAGAAGCAGTGCAGGCTGCGGAAGCCTACTGAGAGCACACCAGAACAAGAAGAGAGCCCTCTCTTTCCTGCAGTGTCTCTCCAGCACCCTCTGCTGACAAACCATAACATCATGCCAGCTGATGAACAGTCGATTTGGAGCTGAGATGCCTGCAATTCACTGATGACTGGTACCATGACTTTCTCAACATTTCTCTGAAAAATAAAGTGCTCTCCTGCCCAAAGCCTTTGCAGTTGCTGTACCCTCTACCTGGAATCCCTTTTCTCCATCCCAACCATATCTTCATATCTTACTCCCAACAGGTTTTCGCTCAAACTGCTCTTGATCAATAGGACCGTTTCTGACCACTCCAATTAAATAGCACCACACTCATGGCACTTTCCGTCTCCCTCTTCCTAACTTATTTTTGTCCATAGTAATTGTTACCATTTGACATAACTTACTTTCATGTTTATTGTCTGTCTCTTCCTTCTAGAATGTAAGCTCCTCAAATACAGAGGTCTATTTTGTTCACACTTTTATACCAGGCAGAGTTGAGTAGAATTCCACCTATTTATTGATATATTTATATTATAAATATTTATTGAATGCATGAATTCAAATAAATTATGAACATACAGGAAGAAAAGGGGGAACACGAACTAAAGTCTCATCCCCTAGATACTACCACAGTTAGCATGAGGCTGAGTTTCCCTTCAGATTTTCCCTAATAAGGATTTTTTTAAATAGGGGTTTGATATACATACACAAATGTGTTCATATCAAAAGTGTTCAGATTGTTGAATTTTCACAAACTGAACCCACCCAGGTATTCAGCACCTAGATCAAGTAATAGTACACTACCAGTACCCTAGAAGCCCCTCTGTGCCCTGCCCCAGGATAACCATTATCCTAGGTTGTAGAATCAGATTGGTTTTTGTGCTTTAGATGAATGGAATTACACAGTATGTGTTTTGTGTCCGACCTTGGCTCCCATCTTGACACATGTATAGAAGATTCATTCATATTGCTGTGAAGTATTATAGATTTTTCTTATTCCTTGATGTGTAATATTCCATTGTATGGATATACTACAAATTATCCATTTTACTGTTGATGGAGATTTAGGTAGTTTCCAGTTTGGACTATTATGAAGAGTTACTCTATACATTCATGTACATGTCTTTTTGTGACCATGTCAGCATTTCTGTTGGGTATATAACTAGGAGTGGAAGTGCTGGATCACGAGATAAGGATCACAGGATCATTAATAATTATGCTGGAAAACAGATGTAAACAGATGTATGCTCAGATTCACCAGCCAACCTCTCCACCCCACACCCCTAGGATATTGTCCTTCATTCTTGTCAGCTAGTATTCCCTGACATAAGTTGGATGAAGTACCCAGCACTGTGTATGGCTCTCAATATGAGTACTTTGGAAATGAACGTGTCCTTCCTTTGACTCTATGCAAAGCATAGTAGCTGGTCCAAGGGGACAAAATAAAGACAAATAAGCTATATTCATACATAAGAGTGGCCAAACCCTGTGACTACAGATCTCACTCCTAAAAAAATATGCTAAGGTTATATTCAAAAGAAAAAACTCTTTCTTTACAAAGTTGGAATTGAAAGATTCAAGAACTGTAATAATGACTACCTGCTCTGTGCTAACCTTCTTATTTATAGAACCTCATTTAATCATCAATGAGATAGATGCCAATCTATTAAACAAAGTCTAACTTCATTTTTTTGTTTCGCTGCTGACAGCTTTCAAGCCCCTAAGAAAGCCTTGTCGGCTGCCTCCCTTCACACCTGTGGGAAATGCAAACCATGCAAGCCCTCTTACGAGCCCTCACCATAGCCCCACACCGTAAGCACAATGAAATGGACCAACTGCCCCTCCTTGCTCTCTTGAGCCATTTTCAGACTTACTGGGGAGCCTACCCTGCACTCTCCAAAAAGCCTCATTATGTCAATAATAAATCTTTTCATATGCCTCGATGCATGTGCAGGGTCATCAGTCCCAGCTATCAATACCAAATTTGGGTATGTGGGGGCATCAGTCCTGCCCCCAAAAGGCATCAAGACACAACCCTATTTTATAGATATGGAAGCTGGAATTCAGAAAAGTTATTTATTATTCATTCAACATGTGTTGAGTGCAGAGCAATGGGAAACTACATGGATGAATTCCCTGTCTTCATTAGAGTAGGGGAAGTAGTTTATAGAAAATTTAAGTATAAACTGTTTTTAAAAATATGAAAACTAGTCTCACCTATAATTAAATATATTAACTAAAATAGATTTTTTAAACTTAAATTGAACAAGATTTAACGATGCAACAATACATTGTGTTGACAAGAATGTGAGCAATTCAGGGTGTAGGAAAATATACTTGGAGGGCTATTTTGTATATCTATCAACATTTCAAATGCCATCCCCTCTTCAAAGGTGAACTCTCCTTTTAGGAATTTATACACATATACAGAGGCATGGCCCCACAGCTACAGAAATGCAGGGCTTGACAATTCCTTCTTTCCAATAGTACATATAGCTCTTTGTAGAAAATTAAAATGATACAGAAAATGAGGCAGAAAAACCTCAGAATCCCAGCACCTGCACATGAGACTTAACCCATACACTTGCTGCTCCCTTCCTGACAGAGCAATGCTGCCTTCTGGTGGATTTATACTTTTAAGTACATTGTTATTCACCATTTTTAATTTTTAAAACTACTTAATTTTAAGTAGTTAATACACTCACATGGCTCAATAATTTTAAAATTCTACATGATACACAATGGAAACTTTTCATTCCATTCCTGTTCCCGTCAAACTAGGTTTCTTTCCCCACAAG